CAACAAAAATTGAATATGTGGGGTTCTTTGATATGCTGAACCTAAACATGTGTTTAGATTTTTGATTATTGGCCCAGTTTTCAAGTTGGTCCAAATCGGGGTCCAAAATTAAACTTTGTTTGATTTCAACAAAAATTGAATATATGGGGTTCTTTCATATGCTGAATCTAACCGTGTATTAAGTTTTTGGATTTTGGGCCCCGTTTTTAAATTGGTCCACATTGAGGTCCAAAGGGTCCAAAATTTAACTTTGTTTGATTTCATCAAAAATTGAATTATTGGGGTTCTTTGATATGCCGAATCTAACCGTGTATTTAGATTCTTAATTTTTGGTTCCGTTTTCAAATTGGTCTACATAAAGGTCCAAAGGGTCCAAAATTAAACTTAGTTTGATTTTAACAAAAATTGAATTTTTAGGGTTCTTTGATATGCTGAATCTAAACATGTGTTTAGATTTTTGATTATGGGCCCAGTTTTCAAGTTGGTCCAAATCGGGGTCCAAAATTAAACTTTGTTTGATTTCAACAAAAATTGAATATATGGGGTTCTTTGATATGCTGAATCTAACCATGTATTTAGATTTTTGATTTTTGGGCCCCGTTATCAACTTTGTCCACATTGAGATCAAAAGGGTCCAAAATTAAACTTTGTTTGAATTCATCAAAAATTGAATTCTTGGGGTTCTTTGATATGCTGAATCTAACCATGTATTTAGATTTTGGATATTGGACCATAATAGGTGAATGTCCAATTTAAAATTTTTAAGTTCTTAGACCACATTCATTCTGTGTCTGAAACCTATGCTGTGTCAAATATTTAATCACAATCCAAATTCAGAGCTGTATCAAGCTTGAATGTTGTGTCCATACTTGCCCCAACTGTTCAGGGTTCGACCTCTGCGGTCGTATCAAGCTGCGCCCTGCGGAGCATTTTATTGTAGATTTGTACTGCTGATCACACCTGCTCTAAACAGTTTCTATCTCTCTTTAAATATTTTCATGCTAAATACTTAAACTGGTGAAAAAAAAACTCAATATGTAAGGGCAGTAACTCCTTTAAGGAGTCCTCTGATAATTTTGGAGTAAATGGAGGGTACATAGATCTGACATTGTGAACATTTTGACCAGTCAGTTTTCTGCACCTATCATGATTTTCAAGATATTTATAGATTATCGATGGTTTTACAAATGAGAGGCTGTTTCTCAGCTTCAATCTCAACAAAGGGAGATAGCCCTGAAATGAGATGTGACTGAGAAACACCCTAGAGTTTGAAAGACCATTGATAATCTGTTTATCGCTATGTTGCCTTTGACGTCATTATTTTTTAAACTGTGAAAGGCACTTGCATCCTTAGTTTCTAGCAATAATTTTCTATCTCAAGCAAGAAGCATGATATGAAAAATTATCACAAAAATAGATCAAAAGAAAAATACACTAAATAGCGATAATAGACAATTACTTGCATTCTATCCTTATTATGAACTTTTAGTCATGGCCGACATGTTGATCAACAGACTGAAATGAAATTAATAATCAAAGAGCTTGATTACTCTGAGGGATACGATCGCCATTGTTTCCATTGATATTAGTATTCTTTCTCAAAAATAATTCAACTGCACATGTATTCCCTATTTGATTCAATCTGAATATTATTTTTCACTTTAAAAAATAGCCAAAATAACTAAAAGTTAACAGTAAAAAAAAAACCCAACCAATTCCAATTACTAGTAATACACAGACAAATGCAACATTTTTCTTCTAAATTGTGCTCTGGACGCTGTCTTGATTATTACAAGTCTTCTATTCCATGAAGTTTAACGGATTTTAACCCCTGACTTGAATGTAATCTATTAATGGCTGAGTTTATTATTGATCTACCAAGATTTTTAACAAAACAGGAATAATAGCAAATAAACACATCTCTGATGATTACTTACAAATGTTAAATGAATTTGTCTTTTTTAAAAACATTTGATCAACAGTGAGTTTTCTTAATAGCGTTTTATAATAAGGAAGACTCCATTTGGGCTGAGGGGGTGTTCTACTTCTACTTCTACCATTACGCTGTTAACTACATTTTCTGAGTTAATTAAAGAACCTTAGTGAGCGCGCTCACATACCCCACGTCCTCACATTGTCATTGGAGAAATAAAATATGTGTAAGAAAAAAAAATTGAATCATAATTTCCTGTCAATATGCACATCTACATAGTATGTCCTTATTATCTACAAAGTTTCATGAAATTATGTTGTGTGGTTTCAGAGGAGTTGCGATGAAAAACTGTTGCAGAAGACATTGAAGCAAATAAGTTCAAAGGGGCGTAACTCCTAGAAAAAATATTGAATCACAATTTTCTGTCGATATGCACATCTACATAGTATGACCTTATCATCTACAAAGTTTCATGAAATTCTGTTGTGTGGTTTCAGAGGAGTTGTGATGACAAACTGTTGCAGTAGTACATTGAAGCAAATAAGTTCAAAGGGGCGTAACTCCTAGAAAAAAAATTGAACCGTAATTTCCTGTCGATATGCACATCTACATAGTATGTCCTTATTATCTAAAAAGGTTTCATGAAATTCTGTTGTGTGGTATCAGAGGAGTTGCGATGACAAACTGTTGCATAGTACATTGAAGCAAATAAGTTCAAAGGGGCGTAACTCCTAGAAAAAAAATTGAACCGTAATTTCCTGTCGATATGCACATCTACATAGTATGTCCTTATTATCTAAAAAGGTTTCATGAAATTCTGTCGTGTGGTATCAGAGGAGTTGCGATGACAAACAGTTGCAGTAGTACATTAAAGTAAATAAGTTCAAAGGGGCGTAACTCCTAGAAAAAAAATTGAATCGCAATTTCCTGTCGATATGCACAACTACATAGTATGTCCTTATTATCTAAAGAGGTTTCGTGAAATTCTGTTGTGTGGTTTGAGAGGAGTTGCGATGACAAGAAACAGGACTGACGGACTGACGGACGGACAGACGGACGGGTCAAAAACATTATACCCTCTGCAACTCGTTGCGTGGGGTATAATAATGCAACAACAATAACCTTAAATAGCGGATAAAAACACAGAAAGGATCTCTTGAGTTGCAAATCAATCAATGGAGTGGGGAATTCAGAGCAACCATTTATTCTTATGCCTCTCAAGGTCATGAAAACTACGCATGCGCTTGACTACATAAACAAACCATCCGGTAGAATTATGTTTTGATTGAGGACAACTTGTCAATTGTGGTTCTCCATTTCTTTATGGAAGTTCTATATCAAAGTTTCATAAAGGTAACATAATAGGAACAACACCACTTCAGTACTTATCTGACAGAAATAGTTTTATTTCAGAACCACTCTCGCATTTTAACAAAACAGCCGAATTCCCACTTTGACGTGATGCTAAATATATAAAACGCTAAATATAGATATTGCTTAATACCGATTTTCCATATTGTAAAATATATGCAAATAAAAAAGGGAGATATCAAAATATGAGGATTATGAGAATAAAACTAAAGGAAAGTTGTTTAAATTCAATCTGTTTGTTTGTTTTACTCTTTAAAATAGAACAATCTTAAGAATCTGAGTTGTTCCTTAATATAAAGCACAAAATGGTTGAAGTGAGAGACTTGGAAAGGAGTCAAACGTAAAAGTCAACAGATTGCTTGGCAGCAATAGTATCCCAAAAAAACAAGAAATGATTGTAATAGGATGCTGTTACGAAGTCTCCACAAGTACAAACCCCTATGGACTCCCCTATTATTCATATAATTCATTATTAATTGACTTATCATGTAGAACATTTTCAATTAGGCCAAAAAAATGAATGTCTGTTTAAGGTTACAGCATTAAAAAAAATAGGGTAGGTAGGTCGGTATTTCCATTTTATTTTATTTTTTACGACATGATTTTGAGTGGTGCAGTGTGTCTTGCTGTGGTACGAGTTGTCTATGGGTCTGGTTTACCTTAATGAGTGGATTATTTCCCTTGGTTATTGGTTGGAAAAAAATGGTGGCAAAGTGTTTATTTCATCACACGAGTCGCAAGTTTCTTAAAACTGCTGTCATATTCACAATTGTGAACATTTAGATGTATCAGGCAATTGATTTATTTTATTGACAACTCTAACTTCGCTTTTGACACAAGTTCAGTTAATTTTTCACTTTACAACAGGAATAAAATGACTTAGGATCGGTGCTCAAAAGTAGGGTCGATCGGGTGACTGTAAACAGACATATATTTTTCTTTGCCTTATAAAGATTTTCTAATTTTTAAAATATTTTGTGAAAATTGAAAAAAAAATGATTAAGGATAAAGGTCAAGGTTATAAGTGACCATTGACTGCTTGACCTGAAAGTAGACAATATGTTCCCATGGTCATTACTGAAGACCCCATGTGTCTATCACTAACTGTATTCAAGTTATAATCATTTGAAAATAAAAAAATTTAAATCCCATAGGGTTCTATAGTAAACCCCTCCTTTCTTTTGGCCCCTCAATGTACCCCTCAATGTACCCCTTTATAGATTCCAATCCACAAACAAAACCCTGATTGCACAACTAGACATGTTAGTCTAACATATTGTGGAACCTTAAGAAAACTAGCGGTTTCGGAGAACAGGTGCGGACAAGTTCAAATTTAAAAGTGGCAGAAGAAGAACCACCACCAATAAGTCTCCAAACTTTGTTTGGGAGACTTTATTCTTAAAACATTTCAGGCCAAAAGAGTAGGGCAAAAGGCAAAGAAGCTTGTGCAAAGAAAAAAGAGCAGAACACACAAACACCAGAGAGCTTTAAAATGTTAAGGTTATAAGTAAGCCCTTCATTTTAGAATTCTTCATATGCAATTCGAACTCGTCATTCAATTTAATACTTTAAAAAGTTTTAAAATGTATCTAAGAAGAGACTCTGGAAATTTCAGTGTGAAGACTTTCACAACTTATTCACATCCATATTGGTTCATCATGAACTAACTTTTTCCACTTATTGTCAAAATTCCTACCTTTGATTATCAGCTCCTAATAATGCAAGCATTTTAAGAATCTTGATCTGTAACCATGGTGATGGGATACTGTGATATTCATAAGAAGAGGGCAGCTTTCTTTCTATTATCTGCTGTAAAATGTTGACTAGAACAGGAACCAGGCTCAAATACTTTTTTCTGTCTTTCTACAATAAAACAGAATAAAATTATAAATAATTTCTTGAATTTTTCTTAAAATATTTTCAGTACTACCACTCAGTGCCAAAATATTACATAGGATCCATATTTGTCACATAATAAAAGTTGTCTCCGATACAAAAGCACTGCCATAGTGTTCCTGTCTTCACTTCAGTACATCAAAAATTCTGAGAAGGAGCAGCTTCCAGTCTGAATATTCTTCTTATGTACATTTTTAGCCACAGTTTAAGTAATAAAAACTGAACTGGTGCATGTAAAGAGGAATTTGAATGAAATATTTTGAGGAACTAGATTGCCTTGTACCCAAAATAGTCATCAAACTGATAGTAATGCATTTTTATAGAAAAATATCATTGATCTTTCTTAAGTAGTTCCTAAAAAAACTAACTTAGGCAGAAAATTTAACCATTGTTGACACAGCTTTCAAGTTGGATTTCAGAGTGATGGAGGAAAGGGTGTGTGTTACACTTTGTTTGATAGCAAATCAGTTCCAGGGGCATCATAAATAAAATTAGCCTGACAACCAAGGTAATCATTTTGAATGGCCTTAAGTATTTATCCTGGCTGGAATACAGCAGAGGTTTTGCTGCAATGAAGAGCAATATTGATATTTCCTGTTAATTTTCAAGTAGTATTTGGTTTGCAAGAACTTTATTAAAATATGAGAATTTGCACAAACTGTACTTGCATTATTAGGAAGATATCATAAACTTTTAATTTCATTTATTAGTTGGTTTAGTATGAACAAAAATTTGACATTGTATGAATTCTTTGACCTCTTAATTCTGAAGTTATGTAAGCCCTGTCAGAGCAAGTTTCAATAGCAAGCAATTTTGTTATAAAGAGTAATTTCACACTCTTATTAAAATTTGTATACTTACTTTGACAAGCTCATGAAATATATAGCATGCAGCAGCCATGACACTAGGATCTGGATCGCACAAACTCTTGTAGAAACTGTCCTCTTCATACAAAAATAGTTCTGGAACTTGAAGGTAATACATATAGATGCACATGACTGCCTTAGCTCTCACAAGAGATCTGCAGAGAAAAGAAATGAAGGAGCAGTAAAATATTGAGGCTTGCAGCTTGGAGTTCGGTATTTTTGTTATTTTACTTTTTGCATGGCATTCAACGACAGGTCAATGGTTTCTACCAAACACCAATTCAGGGCCAATTAAATATTGTATATATATGCCTACAATAGCATTCAAAATACTACCCTTGTAAGTAAATCTGCATTTACTTGTGTAATAAAAAATGAAGCACAATATTGTTAACTGCAAAAAATAGATATTTGTGAATGTTCAGAAATGTGAAAATTGATTGCAACAGAAGCTAATTATAAAAAGACCTAATGCCCCCTCCGCTACGGCGGGGGCATAAAAATACATTAACCCAACTTGCATAGAAGTTTTGAGATTAAACCAATTTCTAGACAATAGTCTGACATGATAAATAAATTTGTTTGATGAATTCTTTAATTTGTACTATTGTCTCATGTTTATTTAATTGATATTACAAAGTCAGATATTGTATTAAAGACATATTCTGTGATCTGTAAAGCTGTTAATGATTTACAAACACCAATACCAGTATGTTACATACAACATTTTGTTATTTATTTAAATGTTGGTATTTCTATAGAATTTTAACCATTTCAAATGATAGGTACATTGTTGAATAAAATGCTCCGCAGGGCGCAGCTTGATACGACCGCAGAGGTCGAACCCTGAACAGTTGGGGCAAGTATGGACACAACATTCAAGCTTGATACAGCTCTGAATTTGGATTGTGATTAAATATTTGACACATCATAGGTTTCTGACACAGAATGAATGTGGTCTAAGAACTTAAAAATTTTAAATTGGACATTCACCTATTATGGTCCAATATCCAAAATCTAAATACATGGTTAGATTCAGCATATCAAAGAACCCCAAGAATTAAATTTTTGTTGAAATCAAACAAAGTTTAATTTTGAACCCTTTTGACCTCAATGTGGACAAAGTTGATAACGGGGCCCAAAAATCAAAAATCTAAATACATGGTTAAATTCAGCATATCAAAGAACCCCATATATTCAATTTTTGTTGAAATCAAACAAAGTTTAATTTTGGACCCCGATTTGGACCAACTTGAAAACTGGGCCCATAATCAAAAATCTAAATACATGTTTAGATTCAGCATATCAAAGAACCCTAAAAATTCAATTTTTGTTAAAATCAAACTAAGTTTAATTTTGGACCCTTTGGACCTTAATGTAGACCAATTTGAAAACGGAACCAAAAATTAAGAATCTAAATACACGGTTAGATTCGGCATATCAAAGAACCCCAATAATTCAATTTTTGATGAAATCAAACAAAGTTAAATTTTGGACCCTTTGGACCTCAATGTGGACCAATTTAAAAACGGGGCCCAAAATCCAAAAACTTAATACACGGTTAGATTCAGCATATTAAAGAACCCCAAGAATTCAAGAATAAAACCCCATTGAAATTGATCAAGAAATAAGCAATTTATACTTAGTATCTTCTTTTGCACAATACTGTGCAATTGAATATTTCTTGCTATTGCGCAATACTGTACAATTGACAATTTCTTGCTATTGCGCAATATTGTGCTATTGGATATTTCTTGCTATTGCGCAATACTGTGCAATTGAAGATTTCTTGCTATTGCGCAATACTGTGCAATTGAAGATTTCTTGCTATTGTGCAATACTGTGCAATTGAAAATTTCTTGCTATTTCACAATACTTATTATATAATAATTTACACATCCTGTTTGATGTGTATCTCCTACCATATCATTATTATTTGCTTTTAAATATTAATCAGAAATAACCAACTTAAAATGGAAAATTTTAAAAGAAAAAAAAAAGGAAAAAAAGAAAAAAAAAGTAAAAAAAAATCCCCCCCCCCCCAAATTTTTTGAACCCCCTTATGATTCATCACCCCCAAACTCAATCCCAGCCTTCCCTTTGTGGTATGGTACCTTGCAGTACAATTTCAGAGAGATCCATACACTTGAACACAAGTTATTGTCTGGAAACTAGAAAAATGCTTATTTTTGGCCCCTTTTTGGCCCCCAATTCCTAAACGTTTCGGGCAATTACCCCCAAACTCAATTCCAGCTTTCCCTTTGTGATATGGAACCTTGTAGTACAATTTCAGAAATATCCAAACACTTACACACAAGTTATTGTCATGAAACTAGAAAAATGCTTGTTTTTTGCCCCTTTTTTGGCCCCTAATTCCTAAAATTTTGAGGCAATTACCCCAAAAATCAATTACAGCCTTTCCTTTGTGATATGGAACCTTGTGGTACAATGTCAGAGAGATCCATACACTTACACACAAGTTATTGTCTGGAAGTTACAAAAATGCTTATTTTTGGCCCCTTTTTGGCCCCTAATTCCTTAACTGTTGGTGCCATAACCCCTAAAATCAATCCCAACCTTCCTTTCGTGGTATTGAACCTTATGGTAAAATTTCATGGAGATCCATTCACTTAAACTAAAGTTAGAGTGCGAAAACCAATGTGTCTTCGGACGACGCTGGACGACGACGACGACGCCAACGTCATAACAATATACGACCAAAAAATTTTTAATTTTTGCGGTCGTATAAAAAGGAACTTACCTATATATAAATAAATTCTTAACAAGGGAACAGTCTACAGTGATTGTCAGTTTAAAATTGTTACCTTGTATGATTCTGTGTTTTCTGCAAATATGGCAATACAAATTCTATTATTTGTGGCATTGTAAAATGTGCCACTGTTGCCATGACATTACACACTTCCAATAAATTTGGACTTGACAAATTCTATAAAGAAATGAAAAAGATTTTTACATATGAATAGAACTTATTCACCATTTATATAGTCATATTAATAGTCAATCTTATATTTAATAGATGACATTAGCATTATTTAAAATGTTTTTTTTTTCCAATATCTGCATTTAGTTCAATAGTGTTGTTTTAATTGTCCTTGTGTTTTCGTATAAAGCCATTATTCAATTATTTTAGAGTTACGAGCTTTAAAGAGGAAGATTGAGATCTAATAAAAACAAGTTCATCCCACCACACTAAGTCTGGAACCTCTTTAATGATTGTCTTTGGTCCTATCTTAAAAGCCTTTTCTTGGATGGTCATCGAGGGAAATCTGTATTGATGGCAGATCTTGGATCATTCATAGTTTCTGTTAGATTTATTCCTCACTTTTTTAGATTTGGTGATTAAAAAGCTTGAAATATTGTAAAACACCTGTCTATTGTTAAAGACTGTAATAATCACTAGACGTCTTTTGGATTTCATGTTGTTAAGTTGCTGTCTTATTTCAGAATACCAAACATCTTTTAATCATATGAATTTTTGTTGAAGATGATCATGTATCTACCTTTAAAGACTATAAATCAATGTACATGTTTATTTACCTTGACCATTGAAGACGTAGCCAGTATAGAAGTCTCATCGTTTCTCGGAAGCAGCAGATTAGCTGTTACCCATCCTGAAAGTATACAATCAATTATTTCCAATTTCACCATTCAATTTTTTTAATTTTTGACTCATTTTAGTATGTTTTTGAACTGGTAGTACATGTAACTTGATTTATAAATACACATTCTTTTGCAGGGAAAAAACATGCTCTTTTGTAATGTTAACTTATGGTATCTTATTGGGTTTATGCTACTCATTATTACATTTCTCCATTTCTAGTTCTGGAGTTGGATTTTTTTCAAGATGTTCCTTGAACATATTATCTCTGTTTGATTAATGTTTTATATAAATTGGCAATTCCAAACTCTTTTCTAAACTCTGGAATATTTTTTAGATACATGTATAACAATAAACAAATAACATATATATGCAATGCTTTGGCTTATATTGGTGGCTTCTTGTATTTAAAAAGATCTTAGTGTCAGAAAAAAGTAACATATCAGATTATCTGTTATGCAATATCCCATTCATACCAGTCGAAATGTGACTCCCAATAACCATACCTATTTTTGTATCCATTGCCTCATCAGATCCAGCACACATATTGAATGCTTTTACCTTGGCAAAGTCAACATTATACCCCATCATGTGACAGTATACACATATAAATAGCAGATCTTTCTCTTGATCCTGAAATTATATAAAATGCTTATCTTTATCCATTTTTCAAATTCCTCTACCTTTTGTTAAGAAACACTGAATCTTGCAAATCAGAACCAGTATACATGTATGTATATGGTAAAGTTAGGTTGTTGTTGTTGTTTCTTTCCAACTATGGTTTGTTTGACAACTTACATCTACAATAAACTGATAAATATAAAATATGGAGATGTGGTATGAATGTCCATGAGACAAATATCCACCAAAGCCCAAATGAAGTGATTGCAATGTAGACATTTAATTTTTTCACCATAAACATGTATACTAAACCGATTGACTAAAATCTATTTGACAATCACAGATATACTACTGCAATCAAAGGAACATTGTATATCCAAATCTATTGTTACAATAATGTTATCATTATTTTGCACATTTTTCACAATAACAATGTGTACCAGATTTCTTCAAATCTTTGTTTAGTATGGTGGTCATTAGGATCACATTGACTACAAATGGAATTTTGGTGGTCCTGTATTTGCCATAAAATTTTTGCTATCAATTATTTCCACAGGTTTAGATAAGATACTAAGGCCAATGTGCACAATAATTATATGGTTCTATATAAAGTATTGATAAACATTGTAATCAGAAGCTGTACTAAATACCAGAAAGCCTAAAAAAGAATAAAACCATCACAAACTCAGAATACCACTACACTTGAAATTGGTGGACCTACCTGATTTTTTGGTAGTCAGGACCAACAGGATCAACAGTTTTCAAGAACACTGTGTATACTGAAAGTTCACTGTAAGTTTGACTTTAAAAGGATGAACAGTTTGAGGAGTTGTGAATTGCAGATTATTCCCCAAACACCAATACTTTTTGTAGCATCTATTTAGACACCAACAAAAAAAAAACCAGTCTACCCTCAATAAAAAATCAAATACTTGAAAGCACTGTGAGTAAAGATTGAATTCAATTTTGCAGTGGGGACTAAAAATTAATTATTGCATTGTATATAGCATTTGAAGGTTATACTATGCATTCCTTTGTCAATAATTGTAGTTGGTTCAACTGCAATATCTATAGACAAGGGGAGATAACTCCAATTCTAAATATTACTTTTAACAGCGACACTATTGATATTTTCAGAACAGATAGATTCATGCAACATATCACAGCTTATGCAATTTTCTTGATAAGTACATATACACATCATTTTTTAACTTTGAATATCTGATGATATATTTCCTCTATGAATTTCTTAAAATGTGCATAAATAGGAAGGATAGAATGTTGTGCTCAATGTGCTATGTTTTTTTGCTCTCAAAATTAGTGATAACTTAATTAGGTCTGGAAATAATAAAGCAGGTCCCATAAAGGTTTTGATTGCATTAATGCAATCTTTACCCCCAAAACCAATACATTCTGCAGTATCATGCACCTTTTATTATCAACAATCACCATGTCTAGTGATCACTAAACAGCAGCATTCACCCTGTTATAAAGTTTCATCTACCACTAATCATAGATATGCATATATGCTATTTCATTTTGAAATTCCATGTGTGCACTGTAAATTTACTTCAATTTCAGGTCATTGAGAAGTTTAAAAGTTGTTAATGTTCCTAAAATAATGGAATCAATGCAAGTACCTTCTACTACTGCTGGCCCCAGATGCAATTTATCTTCTGGGTTTATGATGCAGAAATAAAATACTGTATCTAGTAGATACTATCTACATGTAATGTACTTCTGATATATGATAGATTTGGATCACCCCTAGTCTCTAATCAACTTTCATTCTACAAATACCCAGGTAAGATTCTTACCTCCCTAAGCATGCAGCAATTAGGAGAAAGAGCAAAGACTGGAAAACTGGACAACACAGAGTTAAAATAATGTCTCTAGGTAGGGCATCAGGTCGTCATACAGTCTGTTACCTTTGGAGATACCATGTTAAAATCTGACTCAGCATGGAGGATAAAAACAAAGCAACATTATCATTAATATGTTTTTGTCCCGAATACAAGTATACAAGCCATATAAAATATAATTAGCCACTGAAAGTTATGAAGCCATCAAACAATCAATCACCTATATATGTAGTTTTAATGTGTCAAAAATAAAATACAAATATACAGCTTGTTGTTTGTCCTCCTTTTCTCTGATTAATTGGTCAAAGTTTGAGAACTATACGTACAATGTAAAGTTAGGACACAACAAAATGCACAGCAAGAGAGTGGAATTTTATAAAAATATGATGTGTAATGGTCATGATAGTTGTAGAAGTGACCCATGTATAATTACCTTTCTGGTTGATGGGTATTTAAATTGCTCTTTGATTTCTGTGATCTGTGTCTTAATAAACTGGTCTTCTTCCTGAAACGATACATTGTACACATAAATAACTGGACGTTGGAGCCTGAATTTCTCATCTGGCAAAAATATGTTACATTTATATGATTAAGAGCTACTGTGAACTATTTGCAATAATTTTTTTCTTCTGGATATAAATAATTTATTTTCTAACTTACACTTTTCCAGTGTGTTCATGTGAAAACAAGGTCATTAAAATTCCTTGTCTTCTTCAGTGCCAGCTACATTGTAGGTTCTTATTAAATATTTACTATAAAATCAGGATAAAAAAATATTTAGTGAAAAATAGCAATTTCATTAAGAAAATAAGATGGAGATAATGTTTAATTTGTCTGCAGTTTGATTTAGCTTAATTGCCAACTTATATTATCAAAGGCATTTTTTTTTATGTTGGGTGTGTCTGAGATGTAGCTATTATACTTAAACATGCTTATACATATATATCTACAGCTTAACTGAGCTATTCAATTAAGTTCCAAGCCTCCAACTGTAAATTCACATCTAACATGGAATGCGGGACAACTCGGCCCGGAGACAAATCGGACCATCAATAAGTCAATTCGTACTGTCTATAAAGTCAACTAGGACCTCCTATAATGAAAGCTCAGACAAAGTTTTAAAAGAGGATTTGAGCTATATATGAATGTTTATAAATTATTATATGTTATATTTTACATGACAATATCTTTTGCATGTTGCTGAATTTGCAAAACATAATAAAAAAAAATTTGTATATTAATGTACAATATGTGAATTCAAATTTTTACTTTATTATAAAACTTAATTGAAGCCAAAAAAAAAAGAAGCTTACTAGTAGGTTGAATTTGTTTTACTTATTTGTTGAATTCTTTATTTATTATTTTAAAGTCAACTCGGACTGTCTATAATGCCAACTCCAACAATGTATAATAAAATGCTCCGCTGGGCGCAGCTTGATACGACCGCAGAAGTCGAACCCTGAACAGATGGGGCAAGTATGGACACAACATTCACGCTTGATACAATACTGAATTTGGATTGTGATTAAATATTTGACACAGCATAGGTTTCTGACACAGAATGAATGAACTTAAAAAATTTTAATTAACCTATTCAAACCATATCATTAATTTCTATATAAATCAGAAATAACCAATTTAAAATGGAAAATTTTAAAGAAAAAAAAAGGAAATAAACTGCTTCTCTGAGCGCAGCTAGATATGCCCGCAGAGGTCCAACCCTGAACAGTTGGGGCAAAAATGGACACAATATTCAAGCTTGATTCAGGTCTGAATTTGGATTGTAATTAAATATTTGACATATTATAGGTTTCTGAATAAATGTAGTCAAAGAACTTGAAATTGGTTATATGAATTGAATTTATATTCAATTAAAGATTTCTTGCTGTTGTGCAATAGTCCCCAATACTTAGTAAATCTGTTGTCAGACTATAAACAAATAAAGTTCAATTAATTCTCAATGTCATATTAGAAATTTATGAAAATAAAAAGGGAGCTTACATCAATAGATATAAACAATTCACCAAAGTTTCATGAGAATTGGTGACAGCATTTTTGAGTTATTGTCCGAAAACTGGAAAATCACCCCTTTTTTTAATGAATAAAACCCCATAACTCAGAAATGTAAAATGTAAAATTTATAAAATTCTAAAGGGAGCTTACATCAATACATACAAACAATTCACCAAAGTTTCATACGAATTGCTGGAGGAATTTTTTAGTTTTTGTCCGAAAACTGGAAAATCCCCCCTTTTTTTATGAATAAAACCCTGTAACTCAGTAACGTAAAATCTAAAATTTATAAAAATCCAAAGGGAGCTCATGTCAATAGATATAAACAATTCACCACAATTTCTTGCAAGTTGGTGAAAGCATTCTTGACTTATCGTCTGAAAACTGGAAAATCCCCCATTTTTTAATGAATAAAAACCCCATAACTCGGAAACGTAAAAATCTAAATTTTATAAAAAACGAAAGGGAGCTCACGTCAATAGATATAAACAATTCACCAAAGTTTTATGCAAATTGGTTAAAGCATTTTGAGTTAATGTCCGACATGTTGACGACGGACAGACGGACGGACGGACAGAGGTATACCATAATACGTCCTGTAAACGGGCGTATAAAAAAGGAAAAAAAAATCCCTCCCCCAAATTTTTTGAACCCCCTTATGATTCATCACCCCCAAACTCAATCCCAGCCTTCCCTTTGTGGTATGGTACCTTGCAGTAAAATTTCAGAGAGATCCATACACTTGAACACAAGTTATTGTCTGGAAACTAGAAAAATGCTTGTTTTTAGGCCCCTTTTTGGCCCCAAATTCCTAAACGTTTAGAGCAATTACCTCAAAACTCAAACCCAGCTTTCCCTTTGTGATATGGAACCTTGTAGTACAATTTCATAAAGATCCATACACTTACACACAAGTTATTGTCATGAAACTACAAAAATGCTTGTTTTTTGCCCCTTTTTGGCCCCTTATTCCTCAAATTTTGAGGCAATTACCCCCAAAATCAATCCCAGCCTTCCCTTTGTGGTATGGTACCTTTCAGTACAAAATCAGAGAGATCCATACACTTGAACACAAGTTATTGTCTGGAAACTAGAAAAATGCTTGTTTTTTGGCCCCTTATGGCCCCAAATTCCAAAACGTTTAGGGCAATTACCCCAAACTCAAACCCAGCTTTCCGTTTGTGATATGGAAGCTTGTAGTACAATTTCAGAAAGATCCATACATGTACACACAAGTTATTGTCATGAAACTAGAAAAATGCTTGTTTTTTGCCCTTTTTTTGGCCCGTAATTCCTAAAATTTTGAGGCAATAACCCCCAAATTCAATCCCAGTATTCCCTTTGTGATATGGAACCTTGTGGTACAATGTCAGAGAGATCCATACATTAACACACAATGTCTTGAAGTTACAAAAATGCTTATTTTTGGACCCTAATTCCTTAACTGTTGGTACCATAACCCCCAAAATCAATCCCAACCTTCCTTTTGTGGTATTGAACCTTATGGTAAAATATCATAGAGATCCATTCACTTAAACTAAAGTTAGAGTGCGAAAACCAATGTGTCTTCGGACGACGACGATGATGACAACGTCATTCCAATATACGACCGCAAAAATTTTTGCGGTCATATAAAAATAAAAAAATTTAAGGAGCATCATTTAATTGTAGATGCCCGAGTTGTCTTTTTCGTCATTTATATACTCAAAATCGAGGTAAAAACTTTATTAGAGACTTCTCTTCAGACACATTAAATCATTTATTTCATCAAAACTCTAATTTTATACTTAGTCTTAGTTGGCATAATAGATGGTCCAAGTTGACTTATAGACGATCCGAGTTGACTTTATATACAGTCAGAGTTGACTTATTGACGGTCTGACTCCGTCCGAGTTGTCTTTATAGACGGTCGGGTCCAAGTTAACTTTTTTGTAGACAGTCTGAGTTGTGTCCAGGCTAACTTGTCTAGCACCCCTCACATGCTCATATATCCGTAGATTTACACCAAAACACTCCAAAATACAAAAACATTTTCAAAATCACTTGATAAGAACTATTTACAGTTCCCTGTCTAATGAAAAAAATATTTTTTACTTATTTTAGCATGAAGTTAATATTGTTAATATTGGAATCTGTTATACCTCTTGTCCACCAGAGAAAACAATGAAAACAAATTTGCTGAGAAATATGACTAGCTGGTATTAATCAGCTTTTATTTTAATTTAATCTAACTTGATAATGATATTTATAGGTCAAATCCAATGAGATTATAATAAACAAATATATAATAAATGATGAATTCAATTAACGGATAAGTTAAGTTTGTTTAATGAAAATAATAAGATTATTTTATTCAAAATATAGAATCACCATGATGAAGTAGAAATTAGGTCTTACATTAAACCTGAGACTACTATAACACAGAGATTGGTCACTATCGATTTATAGGAATGTGTGAGTCTCCGGTATAGTTAGCTACGTTATTTTAACGTACTTTCGTATTTAACTGTAGTTTCACTAACAGACGACATAATGTGAATATGTTTAACATTAAGCTACAACTAATGTAATTTTAAATTGTAATTGAACTGTGGTAAATATTTTTATCTTATAACAAAATTTTCGACATCCATTTGCATGTACATAGCGCCACAGTTCCGGGATATTCCACACTCCAGCACCGGAGTCTTTCCCGTACCAGGAAGAAGAAGAAGATCACCACCTAATCACTGAGACTTCTATAACAGTATCGGATAATAATATTATTATTCTTCTTTAAAAAATAAATTAGAAACAAAATTAAATTAATCAAAAAAAGAAAAATAGTTTCTATCTATCAAATGTAGTTATCACTATTCATATTTTTTTATTTTTTTTTTTTAAACATTAATAGTTTGTTATTATGCGACTATTGAAAATGTGAATGTGATTAATCTCTTTAATCTTACAGTTAGTGAGTTACATTGTTTTACTACAGGTCTGTTAATTGTATCAATATACGAATGTTAATGTGTACAAATTAATCTTATCAATCTTACATTGTTTTACTACAGGTCCGTTAATTGTATCTAATAAAAATGTGTTATAGTAGTCTCAGATGGGAGCGTCTTTTTACCACAGAACACCACAGAATACCACAGAACACCACAGAATACCACAGAACACCAAAAATATACCACAGAACTTCGAATTATAAATACTTCAGACATTATATTATTGTTATTGTTGATTCTTTTTATAATTTGACATTTATTATTCAAATAAATTTAATTTTTCTATTTATGGTCGACTCACTATCGCTACGCCCCAACTGAATTGGCCTATTATTGGGTCTATACCAAAAACACCTACGGTACCGGTATTAAAACCATAATATAAAAAAAAATATTTAAAGTCACAACAATTGTAATTCTGGGGTGTATTTGTGACATTTAATTTTTTCTTGTTATTTTTTGTCTTCCATTTTTTAGAATGTTTAGATGGATAACGTAATTATATCTTAAATATATTTTGTATATACCAGAATTTATTGTTTTTGTAGTTGTCATTTTTGTTTAATTTTATGTTAAGAGTTGTTACAATAAGTACATGTATATTATTAAATATTGAATAATATATAAAGCAGTCCTTTAAGGGCTACCAAATACTTTCAAAAAGATATTTGAAGTTGTTGTTGGACAGTTATTTGAGTTGACTAATAAAATATTATAAGTGTGTCTTTATAATAGTCAAAAATTTCAAATTTGATGTGTGTGTATCTTCTCCAATTTATGTATAGAATTTATGCAGGGCTTTTAATTAAAATTGTGTAGAGGCATGTTGGTAGTTGTCTCCAGCATTGTCCAGGGAAAACATTCTCTGACAACACTAGCGGCAACTCAGATGGACATCACATTCAAACTAGTACATTAGCTTGGCTTTTGAAACACTGAATAGATTCTTGACACACTTGATGCAGCTCAAAACCAAATACTGTCGGCAAGTCAGATGAAACATTGTATACACATACTTTTCTTGAGATGAAATAAAAGTCATTGGACAATATTTCAGATTTTTACGAAATTTTGTATGCATTTAGAAATAGATGAACTGCATCTAAATAATTAAAAACTGGCATATGTAGCATTACTATATAGATTCTATATTTTGAGTCCAAAATGATGATCTGAGCGAGTTCACCGGCACATTAAAAGTACCAAAATTTAATTAGATTATCTAATTTTGACACTATTCGTAATCACCAATTCATCAAGCCAATTAACATGTCATTTAAGTTTTCACACCTGAGACATCAAATACATTTAATTGGGTGTCTTCCTGCTAACAAACTTAATCTGAATAGTGTAATTGGAGCCGGTAAAATTCATCATGTCAACTTTTTCTTATAGAAAAAGCATTTTTTTTTTTTATAGAAAAACATTTATTTATAGAAAATCATTTTTTTTTTATAGAAAAACATCTTATTTATAGAAAATCATTTTTTTTTTTTTATAGAAAAACTTTTTTTTTACAATAAATTGTTTTTAAAAGATTTTTATGAAATATAGTTTAGTATCTCAAAGGTCTCCAAATAAAAAAAAAATCTACCAAATAACAAAAAAAGTTATGATCATTAAAGAAATTTATATCTCATCCGGTCAATCGTCCTGTCATTAGTGTAGACCGAATTATAAAAATAATATAATTCTGAATTATTAGTTTTGCATTTTGTAAAGTAATTCAATGTTCTGTGGTATATTTTAGTAGTTTTATTGTATTTTGTGTAGTTCTGTGGTATATTTTGGGTGTTCTGTGGTATTCTGTGGTGTTCTGCGGTAAAAAGACGCTCCGGTCTCAGATTAAACCAATTACTTTGGGCACGACACTTCATTTGCAAGGTATAACTGATCATATTATGTGAAATATAATATTTAATCTTTTAAACAGCACGAATTCTATGTTTATGCTTTGTCTGCGTTGGCATTGTAGACGGTACAAGTTGACTTATTGACAGGCTTAGGGTTAAATACAAAATATGTAACCGTTGCTGCACTTGTAACTTGTAGTTCGACAACTTACATTTTTCGTTTTAGATTTATGTAACAGACGAACGAATGTCTGAAAACATCGACCAAGCCCTGATAAATATTTTGGACTTTGAACACCTTGACTAATTCCTCCCAACAAGTTTTCACCAAATATTTTAGGTAAGGCAGCAATAGTTTTCTCCACAACATCTGACATTTCTGCACCTCTCTTGGCTTACTATTACAAATCTTATTTTGTTCCGAAGTGAAAAACTGATTTAAGTTCTAGCAAGTTAGTTCCGTTACTGAATCATTTGTGATGTAATAATAACCGTTTTGACATTTTAAATTAACAAGAACCACAACCCAACATTATTGGTTTTTCAAAGCTTGGTAACTAAGATCAAAGATTATTTAGAAATATGTGTTGTTTGCATGGAAATTGCTGCTGGATTACTCGAGTTAAAACAAACTCGGCCTATAGCAGACTCGGCCTACCATTATTCATATAAAGAAATAAGACGAACAAACTCGGCCTTTGTAGATTGTTTTTTCGCAGTTCTTTCCTACTTATTTTTATTTTTCTTAATTTATAATAACTTAATATACGAATTTATAAATATTTCTGAATACAAATCAGTTTAAAAAAAAATGTATTCATCAAAAAAATAAACTTAGATCAAGGATTTGTATAGTAATAGCACACAACATAGTATTGCTTATGCTATTTTCGTATTAATCTTTTAACATAATAGTTGCTTATTCCATTTGCATGTAAATTATATAAGAGTATTTGCTTATTCCTGTAGCATACTAATCTTATAACAGAGTTGTTGCTTATCAACATAGAGAATTACTTTATTCCATTTGCATGTATAAAATCCATGCTTAGATCCAAAAGATATTGTTAAGTATGTGTTTTTATCGAATAAAGTTTAATTGAAATATAAGTTTAAACATAATACTTTAAATTAAGGATACTTAACAATCTATTTGATATTTTGCTTTGAATATATCAGTTTTACTTTATATTGCAGTGGCAAATCCAGGGGGTCCGGGGGTTGGACCCCCCTTTTTTGACGATCAATGCTTTTGAATTGGGACATATGATTGGAACCCCCTTTCAAAAATGGCTGGATCCGCCCCTGTTTTGTTGCCGGTATGGATTGGGTTTTTTTTTTTTGTAAATGGTGTTTTAAAGATTGGTGTGAAGAGGACTTTGATTAACATTGGATGGCTTGTTAGAAATTTCTTGACGTTATAATTCATTATTTATGGATTAATTCGGATATTGAGTTATTACATTTCAATGGTCACATCAAACGGATACAGATAGCCTGAGTTTTTGTGGAGGTAATCCGAAGCAAAGAATTATGAGAGTCTGGATGAAGGGTCCTTCATATTTCTTTAAAAGAACATGAACAAAATTGTACAAGATCAATGACTAACTTATTGTGACAGAAATAGTAAAACAGTAAAATTAATTTCAGCACAATATAGTTACCTAATAGTGTATAAATGGGAATTACAAGTTATAAAACCAAAAAATTGTGTACGAACACCTATCAACCAGTGACGATGAAAAGTATATGCATTATATCAGTACTTATGACCTCCAATCGAGTGACGATGAGACCCCTAGTTAGCACACTAACTTTTACATTCGAGACACTGAAGGGGGACTTGGAATAGGGTTTAATGTGTAAGGTGTGTGAAGAATACATAGGTAGAGAATGTAAAGAAAAGGCGAACATTTAGAGCTTCTTGATCTGTTTATACATGTGCCTTGACGATGACATTTTAAATTTGTTTTGTGTGTGTTAGATTTGCATGTTATCTTTCAAATATGCCTTTGTGTTTTAAATGTGTGATATATATCAATATACTCATATTTGATCATATTTGCAATTAAATTTTTAATAAAATTTAAAAAAAGGACATAAAAAACGCCAGCTTCACACATAGCGATCCATGCTGTGACTATCACGAAAGTTACTGGGTTTTTGTTAAGTTATAATCTCATGTAATTACAGGTTGTTATATGTTCTCACTTAGTTTTATGGGTGAATGAAAAGGTGTCTACAGTATCGATGCCAGTTATTAGTTTAAAGGTGATAAAAAAAGGAATAAACAGTACACGTGGTAGTATGATATCATAGGTCTAATTCATTTAAATAAGTCATGCATATGATAAATAATTAAAAAAATCGTAAGGGGTTCCGGGGAACCCTGCGTCTCGCATGCGATTGCTGTGGTCAGTGTAAAAGTGTAATGTTGACTTAAAAGTGAGTCCATTTATCAGTAAAATACAGAGTTTAAAAAAAAAAAAAACTTTTTCTCTAGATGCTATTTCATGGTCTTGAAGATTCAAGTTAGCTTTTGTCCAAGTTTCATAAAAATCCACGAAGGTTTTCACATGTATCATGTCAAAAAAAAATTTAATCCCAGACTGTCTGCAATTGTTAACTGTAAAAAACTAAGTCCATCTATCAGAAAAATACTGAAAATGAAAAAAAAATGTATTTTTGAAAGTTTGCTTCAGACGTTATCTCTTAATCATAAAAAAAGCTTCTGCCAAAGTTTTATAAAATTTTATGAAGGTTTGATAAAGTAATTGATGTGTAACAGACTTTAACCCCAAATTGTATCTATTTGTTAAATGTAAAAATAACTAAGTCCATTTATCAATTAAATACGGAAATAATGAAAATAAATAATTTCAATGATTTTTCTCTGAATACTGTATTTTGGTCATAACTAAGCTTCTGTCCAAATTTCCTGACATTCCATGAAAGTTTGACAAAGTTATTGATGACTGAAAAACTTTAAACTCAGACTGTATCTACTTGTTAATTGTAAAACAAACCAAGTCCATTTCATAATCAGTAAAATTCGGAACAAGAGGCTGTCAGATTGACAGCAAACCGGATTTTCCTGCACGAAAATGATATTTGCAAATCTGGACCCCAAACAGGATCAAGTCAAAAAAAAAATATATTGTAGGGTTCAGAAATGGAAAGGCCAAAATCAATCTTGACCTCCTATTTATCATATGTGACATAACATTGGAATTTAAGAGAGTATATAAGTACACACACATTTGTTCAGCAGGGGTGGGTAGGCAGAAATCATGAAGTCAATAATGAAAGAAATATATTTATGAGATTATAACCTTATCTAATATGAAACTATAGAATCTTGTGGTCACTCTAATAACTTTCAAGAAACCCACTTTCAATCGGGTTTTGTCTTGTTTCTTTAAAGAATCACAAGATTTTCATCTTTTTCAAGTTATTGCATGGACAACGCTCTAAGTATCACTTTACGCTACTTAAAGGTTTATTACTCATCAACAATATAAGCTAAAATCGTTAAATTCGAACTTGACCTTGTTTTAGTCACAGGAAACAGCATATCTAAATTTGACTCAAAGATTTCGTCAAAGCGTTTTCTAGTTATTGCACGGACAACGCTCTGTCACGGTCATGGTCACTTTTCGCTAGGTCTACAACTCAACAATGATAAAAGCTAAAATTGTGAAAATAGAACTTGACCTTCATTTAGTCACAGGAAACAACATATCCAAATCAATAACAAAGGACAATACATAAATATAAATTTTGTATAAATTGTATAAATTAAATATAAATAGATGTATTTCTTGCTTGTAATGTGTTCAAAATGAATTATTTAATTATTCTAACTCATAATTAATTTGAAATAAAGTACTGATAATTAATTTCAAATGAATTAAATAACATCGTTTATCATACTTATATTCTTGTGGCAGATTGAGTTTGATATGGGCCGAGTTTGTGAGGCCGATTTTGTTATAGGCCGTGTGTGTTATGGGAGTCACAAAAGGTATTATAGCGGTGCGTTGTAATATAAAACTAAAATTGGTTTATAGTGATATTTTATATGAGTCTTTGGTTAAACAACCCCACAGGAGCTTTTGAGATCAGCTCTTGATGATAACACAAGAAAAATAAAAACGAAGAGAACAAAATACGAACAAGACAAATCGACTAATACTTGTAAGGAAAACAATATAGTAACAACAGTCACCAAAGTTCTGTACCACCTTAATCATTGTCCGATAAGTTAAGAACAAAAATATATAAAATGTTGGGGACGCCAAGGAGGTGGGGTAGTTGGCATCAGGTCCAAATGATTATGACGTCTTGAAAGGCTATTTTAATTTTTAGAATTTTTTTACCTTTAAGACTTCATAATTATTTGGACTAGTTGGCATATAGACAATCTGCTGTTTGATTGAAACTGAATAGGTCAATTCAATTCAATTCAATATTTATTGGAAAGAGCACAATAGCATGAATAGAGGCATGATCCGAAAACAGATAATAATAATATGAAAACAACATATAAATGAAATATAGATGCATGTAACAGCAAGTCATAAGTAAATTCTATGGATAGCATAACATTCTGAGTATATTCTATGAATACCATTACATTCTAAACTCATATTAATACCATACACATATACATCACAATTATTCTAAATTTTCATAATTTTACTTAAAACACACAATCACCTATATAAGATATATGTGTATATGCACAAACTACTATAAAGGATTATTATCTGATGAAACAGTATGGTGGTCTCTCAAATCAAGTGCTTCTTCAATATACATACAAATAGATTTTAGTTCTTTTTCTGACATAGGATTTAACATTTTGGTAAAATTTTCATCCAAATTATTTGAGTTAATATCTGATTTTATATTTAGATCTAATTTTGTTATATTGAGGACATTCAATCAAGAAATGTATCTCATTTTCAATTTTTCCTGTGTAAAATTTACAAAATCTCTCATTAGAGGGTATTATTGGTCTTGCATACCTACCAGTTTCTATTGCTAATGAGTGTGCACTTATTCTTAATTTAGTGAGTTTTTCTCTAAGATATTTAGGAACATTAAAGTTCAAATATTCTTGTTGTTTAAATTTAGTATAAATTTTACTAAAAAATAAAAGTTTACCACAGTTTTCATCTTTTATCTTAGATAGTTCAAATATAATTTTATTTTTGTAGAAATCTTCTAGTTTCTGTTTGAAATTACTATTACAATGCTTGTTTAAGGGTATTCCAATGTATTCTTATAATTCACATAATTTATTAGACCATGAATTTTCTCTATTTGTGAGAGTATTGTCCACTTCAAAAGCAGCCTTGAGAATTTCATGTGGACCACCAGACCATTCACCAATATCACTGAGATGCACATAGTATTTATACATGTACATAAGTTGATAACATTTAATGCTAATAGGTAATGTGCCAAATTTCGCACCGCACTGCTAGATTGGAAGACTTTCCATGAACCCCAAGTATGTTTTTAAATATGGAGTTTTGTGTTTTTTCTAATTTACTTTTGTCTAATGCTTCAAAATTTGGTTTGAATTCTGATATCCATACTTCTGATCCATAAGTTAAAATAGGAATTAACATTGAACTAAAAAGCTGGAGCCAAGTTTTCACTATATGGGAGTTTAGACATTAATGCAAAATATGCTTTTTTAGCTTTATCTGAGAGGCTTGACACTGCCTGTATAAATTTTCCAGAGCTATGAAAATCAACTTAGTATTTATAATAATCAACGATTTCAATTGCATTAGAACTGTAATAAAAGTACAAAAATGTACAAGTTTTCTTTATTTACTTTATTTTTAGAGAAAATTATGATTTTTGTTTTCTTAAAGTTCACATCCAGTTTCCATTCAGCACTATATTTTTGCAAAGAATCAAGAGAGTTCTGGAGACCAGCTGCAGATTCAGATATCAATAATAAATCATCAGCATACAATAAATGGTTCACTTTTTGATCATATAAATTAACTGCACTAGTTGAGTTTGTATCTAAGTATTTTCCTATGTCATCAACATGATCAACAAATATATTAAATAAAGTTGGACTTAAACTGTCTCCTTGTTTGACTCCCTGATTAGCAAGAAAAGGCTTAGTAAACATATTTTGATATTTACATGAATATAAGGTATTAGAGTACAGGTCAATAAAGCTACGATGCAATCCGGTAAATCCGCCCACATAAGGCTTTGGTTGAAATTTATTATAAATGGATTCACTGACAAATCAACTTTGAGTAGTTGATCTCATTTCCCAAAAAAAATCTGAGAAAAATTTTAAAATCAACAAAACAAGTGGGTCATCCGTGTTTTTATCGGAAATGTGTTTGTCCAGTAAATCCGCCCATGCGCAGTAAATATGTATGGAGAGCCAGTTTATCACAAATTTATGAAGGAAAAGGTGATCTATTTATTAATAGATCACTTATAAAGAGATTCCAGATAATCAAAAATAAAATTTCAAGTCAGAAATGAGTTTTGTAAGCAATAATATGATTATCGTTAGCTTTAGGAACTGTATTATATATATCACTAGATATTTTCATAATAAAGGATTTTTCTTTAAAATTTGACATGCAGTGATGATAAGTACAGTTCCTATGAATAAAATAGCAGACGAAATATTCACAGAAGTGACAATTACGGAAGAAATGGGAGTGGGCGGGTGTACCGGACAGGCGGAATTACCGTACACCACTGTATAGAAAAAGAAATGGACAATGCAACATTTCCATTAAATTTGGCTCACTCAAGGATATAACTCTATAGGGTTATTAGAGAAAAATAACATACATTTGTTACTGTGGACTAAAAAATCAAAGAACTGTGATAACATATGTATGTTACATGTTTCAAAGGGCCAATATACATCATTTGTTTTGTTAGAATGTATACAAGTTCTATTGATATTTTTATTGTCTTTATGTATACTAAACTATAGAAAGATATAACAGTTCATAGTTTGCCAATCATGCATAGTACACCTATGTTATTACAGAAAAAATATGCCTGTAATAACTAAAGGGTGTTATTACAGCTTCTCTACATCACTTCAAAGCCTTTGCTCAGACATACATCATACTTAATCACAATGTTTTTTAATTTATTGTAAGAAATAATGATCAGAGTATGTAATGAGGTTCTGCACAAGCCTCCCAGAAATTCCCAAGTGTCTCATATAATAAGTTACATGCCATTAATAACTAAGCCTTGTTATTACAGCTAAGTTTATCCCTTAAAAGCCTTGTCCCATTGATTAACCATGGTTGAAGAAAAATGTATTAATTTAATTTGAAAATTAGTTATCAAGGCTATGTATTTAGTTTCTGCGCAAAGTTTCAAGAATTCCCAAGTGCCCACTAAAAATTAAAATATTTATGATTTATTTAACAAATAACAAACATATGTTACTAAAGATTTAGAAAATTTAAGGAATAAAGAGTAGACAACTCGTAAAAGTATCTGTAATAACACATAAAGATATTTTCTCTAATAACCCTATAGAGTTATATCCCTTACTGATGAGCTAAGCACAATATCAGGCATTATTTTAGTCCAAACAATTGTGAGGTCTTGAAAGGCTATTTTAATTATTTGCTGTGTCCCCTTCCATAAAGCGAAGTAACATACGGAAATAAAACACCTGACTTTCATCTGATCTGGTCCATTCATTTACACAGTTTAAATCTATTGTTGTGCTGATATCTATTGTCCATCTATTGTCCTGCTAATCAATACAACTCACTACAATTATTTACATAGGGGAACATCTCAAACATTTTAATACCCCCCCCCCCTAGCTGAGGGGGCATTAAGTGTTACTTTGTCAATCCGTCACGTACATCCCAAAAATTGGTTTCAGTTCTCAACCAAATGTTTTAAAACTTATACACAATGCTTATTACCACAAAACACAGATCAAGTTCGAAATTGGGTGGCATCACTTATACCATTCATGAGTTATGCCCCTTAAAAAACATAAAAATTGCTGAATTTTTCATTTCTGTTCTCTAACTTTAATTTGCATCAACCAAATGTAATGAAACTTATACACAATGCTTATTACCACATAACACAGATCAAGTTTGAAATTTGGTGGCGTCACTTTTACTTTTCTTGAGTTATGCCCCTTTATAAATGGAAAAATTGCTAAATCTGTCGTTTCCGTTCTCTAACTTTTGTTTGCCTCAATCAAATGTTATGAAACTTATACACAATGCTTATAATCACAAAGCGGTCTTAACTACGTGATCCTGCATCTGTATGTGGAAGTTGACTCATGCATATTTACAAGCTGGGTCATCTGTGGCCCTTAGACACATTCTCCATATATTTCAAACTTAGTTTATTTTGGCAACTTCTGTGGGAACGAAAAAAAGGAATCTCAAAATCCAGAAAAGTTAATAATTTTCTGAAACATAAAATGCATTTAAAATTTAATTCTCTAGTTCTTGCCATACCTTAAAAGTTTTCCAGGTGCAAAGGTTTGTCTGTATTCAGAATAGAATGTGTGGTGTAAATATGGCCATATTAGCCAAAAGGTTAGGATGAACCTTAAGCAGAGTTACACAGTTAGTTATATAACTAATCTTCCCTGCAGGAAAAGGTTTACATAAAAGTTGAAACATGTATTTAGAATAATAGTTAATACCTACGGCTCATATCATTAACGTAGTGTCCATCAAATGACTCCCACCCCACCTGATTTTGGCTACTTTTCCCATTTTTCCTATTTTGAACTAAGAAGGGCATTAAGATTAAGGTTGTCATACTTTCCTAAAGACACATCTGGGAAGAGTTTATGGACCATGAATTGCATGGTTGAACTTCCTGCTGTCAACAAAGTTCAGGGGCAGTTCTAAAAAAGTATGGAGGGTCATATGGGCCATCAAAGAATAGCGATTGCAATAACGACTACAGGTGGGACTGGGGGCGAAGGGGTTAAAAGGTTCAAATTGTTTTAAACTGATTTTTATAGGATAATTGATATTTGCAAATGGCATAAATGGTAAATCTTTTAATCAGGACATAGAATTGTATGTCAAGCTTGACTGGCTTCAACTTTCTGTGGTACAATTAACGAGACAATTCTCGAATTGTTACTTTTCAATCAATTGTAATGTTTTGATAGCTGTCATCAGTATGGTAAATAAAATCCTACAAGTTTTGACTTTTCAATTGTTAACCTTTTCAAAGGAAAAAAGCTGATAAAACCGAACATATATTTGACTTCTAAATACCGGAAATAATACTGGTCATAAAGACGGGTGAAAATGGGTCATTTTCTGAAATCCTGGGTGATTTGAATACCTGGAGGGTATCTAAAAAATCCCGTGTGAAAGGGGAAACTCGCTGGTATAACGCGCAGAATACAGGTCAGTTGACAGGTATGCTTGAATGGTGGTTTGTATCAATTTTTTTTTTTTTGGCAAACAAATTATTAGATATAGAGATCTGTGATAGAAAAGATGATCAGCAGGCTGGATTTACAAACAAGTCAAAAGGACCAAAAAGTCTGTCAACTTCTTACAAGAGCAACCTCTTGATTTTTATCCATATTTGGTTTCATTTTCAGAAACATTGATGAAGAAACTGTAAACATAGAAAAATATCGGAAGGACAAGATGTAAAAAAGATCATTATGGTTGAAATCATCAGTTGACTCCTTTGAGGAGTTGGTGTCCTTGAATGACGATTTTTACCATATTTATGCTTTTTTGAAGAAACTATGGTAAATTCAGTGAAACTGCATATAGCAAAAATAATGAGCAGGACAAGAACTGCAAAAAAGTCTTTATGAACAAAATAGTCAGTTGACTACTTTCTATGCCCTTGGATAATGATTTTTACTCATATTTGTGCTTTTTGCCGAACTTATATTAGATAGAGAGAAACTGTAAAAAACAACAATTATCATTGACTGATTGATTGATTGGTGTTTAACGCCACTTTCAACATTATTGTGCTATTACGTGGCTGTCAGTTTTTATTGATGGAGGAAGCCAGAGAGAACAACCAACCTTTGGTAGGAAAACTAAAAATCCTAGTCAATTAAGATTGGAGTCGAGTGCACCTGCCCCTTGCGGGTTTCGAACTCACAACCTGAGCCTCAGTGTTGACTGGCTAGTGATACAGTAGTTGGAGTGACTGTGGACTGTTATCAGCAGGATAAGATCTACAATAAAATTGACATGGCTGATATTGTCAGTTGAGTCCTTAAAGGAGTTATTGCCCTTGAATGACAAAATTAAACCAAGTTTTTTGCTTTTTTGTGGAAACTGTATTAATTAGATAAAGATACATGTATATTGTAATCATGGTAATAGCAAAAATGATTTTTAGGCAAGAATCTACAAACATGTAATCAGGGGCATAGGAGCTGTGGGGCCAAAAGGGGAGGTGGGCAATTACAATCCCCCTTTTTATACGACTGCAAAAAATTGGTATGACGTTGGCGTCGTCATCGTCGTCGTCCAAAGACACATTGGTTTTCGCACAATAACTTTAGTTTAAGTGAATGGATCTCTATGAAATTTTACCATAAGGTTCAATACCACAAAAGGAAGGTTGGAATTGTTTTTGGGGGTGATGGTCCGAACCTTTTAGGAATTAGGGGCCAAAAAGGGGCCCAAAACAAGCATTTTTCTAACTTCCAGACAATAATTTGTGTGTTAGTGTATGGATCTCTCTGACATTGTACTACAAGGTTCCATATCACTAAGGGAATGCTGGAATTGAGTTTGGGGGTATTGCCCAAAACGTTTAAGAATAAGGGGCCAAAAAGGTGCCAAAAAAAAGCATTTTTCTAGTTTCCAGACAATAACTTGTGTTCAAGTGTATGGATCTCTCTGAAATTGTACGGTAATTGCCCTAAACGTTTAGGAATTTGGGGATAAAAAACAAGCATTTTTCTAGTTTCCAGACAATAACTTGTGTTCAAGTGTATGGATCTCTCTGAAATTGTACTGCAAGGTACCATACCACAGAGGGAAGGCTGGGATTGAGTTTGGGGGTGATGAATCATAAGGGGGTTCAAAAATTTTGGGGGGGATTTTTTTTTCTATTTTAAGACTTTTATGATGTATTTAAATTGGTAATTATGGTTGCAAACTCCATTGGAAATTTGAATTGAGATTATGATCATACCTTGAGGGAAAGAATTTTTTTTTTGGAAAGGGGGGGGGGGGGTGAAAAAAAAGGGGGGAAGGGGGTAAAAAAGAAGTTGTGGGGGCAATTTTTTTTTTTTCAGATTTCAGAAATTAAAAAGAAAATTTCTTCAAATATTATTTTTTTTGGGGGGGGGGGGGGTCAATATGCAACAGCATAGTGTATTGCACAAAAGCAAAAAATTGAATATGAATTCAAATCATATAACAAATTCTAAGTTCTTTGACTACAGTTATTTGGTGTCTGAAACCTATTATGTGTCAAATATTTAATTACAATCCAAATTCAGACCTGTATCAAGCGCGAATATTGTGTCCATTTTCGCGCCAACTGTTCAGGGTTGGACCTCTGCGGTCGTATCCAGCTGCGCTCAGTGAAGCATTTTATTATTTCTTGTAGGATATTACTACTAGGGAAAAAGTTACCAAGAACCTACCTAAAATATGTAGGAATAATTTCCATTGGACAGATATGATATGTGCATCAGCAGGGGGACATTTGAATGCCGTTATTTTAGTTTTTATTACGATACATTGAACATGAATTAATGCGAATGAACAATTTTTTTCTGCAAGTTTAATAATTATTTTAAAAAACATTTACTGTACCATCGTAGAGCCAGATCATACCTTCACCTTTATTTTATAGATTTCTGAGGTACTCATGTTACTGAGTATAATGAAATGCTTGTTGATGTATCCGTTATTCTTTCTCAAATGTATTTTTATTTATGTTATAGAATAACAGCCAGAATGACTCAACAGAAGTAATAGGTCATGGACACCTGTGACATGGAGCCTGCAGATTCAGACAGCCTACCTGGTACTCCCAAATATATACAATGTATATGTTTATTGAAACAAGTCTGATTATAATTATTTGATCTAAATTGATAAGTAATTGTTTACATTGGAATGATCACTGTATTTTTTAAATTACAACAGAACAAAGGTTAAAGCAATTATTTATATTATAAAATAGACTCTGGTATACATGAACAGGTTGTTTGGTTGCTGTCTCATTGACTGATACCATATGTCTCCTTTTATTCATACTCATGTGGTGTAATCAGGATGTGATGAAATACACTGAACTTGTAGCTAAATCTGTTTTTCACTTAATGACATGTTCAAATTTTATCCTTCACTTTCTACAGTTTTTATTCTGATATATCTAAAGAGATTTATGAAATCAACTTTTTATTAAGGTGTTCTTCATGTTACAGCTAGTAGCAATCAAATTTTAATTGATCAAAAGCAGGAGACATTTCTCTAAAAATTGTTTGGGGACATTTTGGAAAGAGTATTCTGCCTACATCATGTGCATTGCAAATAATTTCATTTGACTGTATTGTAATTTAATATTTATACAGCCATGCTGAGCACATTTAAGCACACCAGGGATCCTTTTATAATCTATTTTTTTTATTTTTTGTCGAGCCTTCGACTTTAGTCGAAAAAGTGAGACATAGCGATCCTACATTCCGTCGGCGTCGGCGGCGGCGTCCACAAATATTCACTCTGTGGTTAAAGTTTTTGAAATTTTAATAGCTTTCTTAAACTATCCTGGATTTCTACCAAACTTGGACAGAAGCTTGTTTATGATCATAAGATAGTATCCAGAAGTAAATTTTGTTAAAATAAAATTCCATTTTTTCTGTATTTTACTTATAAATGGACTTAGTTTTTCTGCCGGGAAATATTACATTCACTCTGTGGTTAAAGTTTTTAAAATTTTAATAACTTTCTTAAACTATCCTGGGTTTGTACCAAACTTGGACAGAAGCTTGTTTATGATCATTAGATAGTACCCAGAAGTAAATTTTGTAAAAAAATAAATCCATTTTTTCCTTATTTTATTTTTAAATGGACTTAGATTTTCTGCCAGGAAACAACACATTCACTCTGTGGTTAAAGTTTTTAAAATTTTAATAACTTTCTTATACTATTTTGGATTTGTACCAATCTTGGACAGAAGCTTGTTTATGATCAAAAGCTAGTATCTAGATGGAAATTTTGTAAAAAAATAAATCCATTTTTTCTGTATTTTACTTTTAAATGGACTTGGATTTTCTGCACGGAAACATCACATTCACTCTGTGGTTAAAGTTTTTAAAATTTTAATAACTTTCTTATACTATTTTGGATTTGTACCAAACTTGGACAGAAACTTGTTTATGATCAAATGCTAGTATCTAGAAGGAAATTTTGTTTTCTTCCAGTTAACATTACATTCAGTCTGCAGTTAAAGGTTTTAAACATTTATTAGATTCATAAACTATCCTGGATTTTTACCAAACTTGGACAGAAGCTTCTTACAATCAAAAGATAGTATCAAGTGGAATATTTTTATTGATTTACTTCCTCATTTTTGTTGAGCCTGTGATTAACAGAAAAAGTAGGCGAGACACTGGGTTCCGCGGAACCCTTACGAATTTTTTTAAAAACTTTCATTTGCATGTTGTTGTTTTGTACAAGGATTTTTGGAAAATTTGGGGTAACTATATTGAAAATTATAATAAATGTATTTGTTTCCTACAGGTTGTGACATAAAGGATGTAATAATGTCAACACACACCAATGTTTCATCGACAGACAACATCGCCCAGGTTGAAGAAAAAAGTCTTAAAGACATTCTGGCTAAAATTGAAAATCTGGTAAAATTTTGTTCATTATTTGTTTCCATATTTATAATTCCATGAATACTAGTATGAAGTATTGGCAGTCAACACAAAACATTCTTATGATATATGTTGTATACCGGTAGATCATTTAATAATAACAGCAGTCCAGAAATAAGGATTCACATACAATGTAGTACATGTACTAGATACCAAATAATCACTATGTCAGATTGTTGTCACAAATTAAAAAAAAAAAAAGAAAAGACTTTTCATTTTAAATTTTTATGTAAGTGTAGTTTGAAATCTGTCTAATCAGTTTTCATTGATTTATTGTTTATTTTACAGTGTAATATGTTATTACCTGAAGACCATCAATACATTCTTATGACCACCAGTACAGTAAAGAAAACATTGGATTTTTGTGGATCAGAGAATGCAATCAGTTTTATTGATAAATATAAAACCATGGCTCAGGATTTTGTTCTGCACTGTTACAGTGAGTTTTCTTCAGACACCCAGTAATATAATTATTACTTGAATAAACAGCATTTGTCAGAATGGTTTTGAACGTTACTCATATGACCAAGCAAAACACAAAAACCATGCATTATTAACAGTCTTCATAGATTATTTTGGCTGACTGGTCCAAAAATCAATTTACTAAATACATGTAAGGCTTATAACTCCTCTTTAAAAAACTGATCATTGTTCCTACTACATTTGTATTTGCCTTGGACAATTTTCAGGATCTTTGGTGAAGTGTTTAATATATTCTAAGTAATAGTAGCAATATAATAATTTTGCACGGTACATTATCCAGTTTGTACATTAAGTAATTACAGAATATTTTAAATTGTATTAAGTTTTAACCATAGTCCAAATTGTGATAAATGGAAATAAAATTTTTATAAAATTTATTTGAAGTAAGATTGGTTTCGTGGTTACATTATTTCTTTAGCAATTTTCTAGTAACAAATATATCTATGAAATTATATATTTACTTTTGCATTTAGACCTAATATTACATGAGAAATCAGAAAGAAATTGTGGACAAAGATCTAACATTAAAGACTCATCTCGAAAGTAACAGACTGAAATTGTACATATCTGTACTTTAAATCTTTCTTTTTGAGAAAGCTTTATTTAAATGCACAAGATATATGTATAAAATCAAATATAGTTGACCTATTGCATACAGTATTAGAAAAACAGACCAAAACACAAAAACCTAACATTGAGCAATGAACCGTGAAAATAAGGTCAAGGTCAAATAAAACACATTTTCATGGTTCAGTCACTTCAGTGGTAAAAGTTAAGTTTTGTATTTTGGTCTGTATTTCTAATAATGTATGCAATATGTCAACTATATTTGGTGTATGGAAATATTTTACCATGTACATGTCAGTCTGGCAGGTTTTATTTGACCTTGACCTCATTTTCACAGTTTATTGCTCAATGTTAAGTTTTTATACGACCGCAAAAACATGTTGCGGTCGTATATTGGTATGACATTGGTGTCGTCGTCGTCGTCCGAAGACACATTGGTTTTCGCACTCTAACTTAAGTTTAAGTGAATGGATCTCTTTGAAATTTTATCATAAGGTTCAATACAACAAAAGGAAGGTTGGGATTGATTTTTGGGGTTATGGTACCAACAGTTAAGGAATTAGGGGCCAAAAATAAGCATTTTTGTAACTTCCAGACATAACTTGTGTGTTAGTGTATGGATCTCTCTGACATTGTACCACAAGGTTCCATATCACAAAGGGAATGCTGGGATTGACTTTGGGGGTAATTGCTTCAAAATTTTAGGAATTAGGGGCCAAAAAACAAGCATTTTTCTAGTTTCATGACAATAACTTGTGTGTAAGTGTATGGATCTTTCTGAAATTGTAGGACAAGGTTCCATATCACAAAGGGAAAGCTGGAATTGAGTTTGGGGGTAATTGCCCAAAACGTTTAGGAATAAGGGGCCAAAAAGGGGCCAAAAATAAGCATTTTTCTAGTTTCAAGACAATACCATGTGTTCAAGTGTATGGATCTCTCTGAAATTGTACTGCAAGGTATTATACCACAAAGGGAAGGCTGGGATTTGATTTTGGGGGTAATTGCCTCAAAATTTTAGGAATTGGGGGCAAAAAACAAGTATTTTTCTAGTTTCAGGACAATAACTTGTGTGTAAGTGTATGGATCTTTATGAAATTGTACTACAAGGTACCATATCACAAAGGGAAAGCTTGGTTTGAGTTTGGGGGTAATTGCCCTAAATGTTTAGGAATTAGGGGCCAAAAAACAAGCATTTTTCTAGTTTCCAGACAATATCTTGTATTCAAGTGTATGGATCGCTCTGAAATTGTACTGCAAGGTACCATACCACAAAGGGAAGGCTATGATTGAGTTTTGGGTGGTGAATCATAAGGGGGTTCAAAAAATTAGGGGGAGGATTTTTTTTTTCCTTTTTTTCCTTTAATGTTCTTTAAAATTTTCCATTTTAAATTGGTTATTTCTGATTTATATATAAAAGCAAAAAATAATGATATGGTTTGAATAGGTAAATTAAAAATTTTTAAGTTCTTAGACCACATTCATTTTGTGTCAAAAACCTATGCTGTGTCAAATATTTAATCACAATCCAAATTCAGTGCTGTATCAAGCTTGAATGTTGTGTCCATACTTGCCCCAACTGTTCAGGGTTCGACCTCTGCGGTCGTATCAAGCTGCGCCCAGCGGAGCATTTTATTGTGTTTTGGTCTGTTTTTCTAATACTGTATGCAATAGGTCAACTATATTTGGTGTATGGAAATATTTTACGATGTACATGTCAGTCTGGCAGGTTTTATTTGAACTTGACCTCGTTTTCATGGTTCATTGCTTAATGTTAAGTTTTTGTGGTTTGGTCTGTTTTTCTTAAACTTTAAGCAATAGGTCAACTATATTTGGTGTATGGAATGATTGTAAGGTGTATATATCTGTCTGGCAAGTATCATTTGACCTTCACCTCATTTTCATGGTTCATTGGTTAATGTTCAGTTTTCCTGGTTAACTTTGTTTCTTAGATACTATAAGCAATAGGTCAACTATATTTGATGCATGGATTTTAAGGTGTACATGTCTGTCTGGCTTGGTTCATCTGACCTTGACCTAATTTTTATGGTTCATTGGTCAATATAAAATTTCAATGGTTTGGTCTGTTTCTCTTAAGACTATAAGCAATGAGTCATCTATATTCGGTGTATGGAATGATTGTATTAAAGGTGTACATGTATTTCAGGCTTGGTTTATCTGACCTTAACCTCATTTTCTTGGATCATAAATGTCAACATGATACTTGTAAAACTTTATATTTAGGACTATCAACATAAAATCAATGGTCAGTGTAGTAGGTGAGACATTTCAGCATGTGCACTCTTTTTTTTATTATATTGTCATCAACATTTGTCAAGAAAATGCAAAAATAAAAAAACTCAAAACTTTAATATATAGCTTTATCTTGAAACATCATGATATTCTTTTTTCAAAATTTGATATATATATATATTAAAATTCTTTCATGGATATTAAAATATGTGCATACAAAACATTTTATTTAAGGTGCTGTTTCTGGAGAGAAAGATAAACCAGAGAACATTACCGAAATTAAGGCAGAAGTGAATTCTAAGATATCTTTGGATGATGACAATCATGATGAAGAAGAAGAAGCATCTTGTGATGTTAATGATGAAATTGATGTAGAAAAATCAATAGAGAAAATCGTGAAAATGCTCGTCACCAAGCAAAACATGTCCATTGATAATGTATTAAGGGAATTGGTTAAATTGAATGATTCTTTAGATGGTTTAACTGACAACCCTTCTGCTGAAAAATGTATTGCTACAGGGGACATAACTCCTGATAGACAGAAAATAAAAGATGGTCATTGTGCCGATAGTGACAATGTCGAAAATTTTGAGTCTACAGAATATACAGTCAAAAATGAATCTGAAGATGAAGATGATTTTGGAGAAATGGCTGATGATGATATTGATGAAGATGATTTTGGAGAAACAGTTGATGATATTGGAGACAAAGATTATGTTGAATCTGATGAGTCAAAAGGTAGTGAACCTACAGCTTCCAAAAGGAAAACAAGACGAATGAGGTCAGATAAATCAGTTCATGAATTTAGATGTGAAAAATGTGGGCATCATTTTGCAACAGAAAAATTTCTTCAAAACCATTTAGAAGAACATATGGTTTTTGATAAGCTGGATGATAAAAGTACTGAATGCTCTGTTTGCCAGAAAACTTTCTGTGACAGAAAAAGTCTTAGGCGTCATTACAGAACTCATTCTAACTGTCAGCTTTATGAATGTCAGATCTGTAGTAAATCATTTTCTCGTTCTGACTTGTACAAGAATCACCTCAGTACTCACAAAGACCCAGAATTTACATGCACAAATTGCAATCGTCATTATCATACAAAGCAAACACTGAATAAACATGCTAAGAACTGTAATGACATATCTACAGAAAATACTGAGGAGCAAGAAGACAGCAATTACCCAAAATTTACATGCACAAAGTGCAATCGTCAGTATAATTCAAAACAAACACTGACAAAACATGCTAAAAACTGCAATGAACTGTCTACAGAAAATACTGAGGAGCAAGAAGACAGCAAAAAGTCAGTTAAAAAGAAAAGGGAGAGAATCCTATTATACGGTGAATGGCAATGTTTAAAGTGTAACCTTAGATTTACCTCGGAGTTGTTTCTTCAAAATCATTTGGATGAACATAAGCTTTTTGATGACATGGATACTGAGGAAAAACAATGTCCTGAATGTAACAAAATATTTTCTGATGCTAAAAATTTGAAAAGGCATTATCGAACTCATACAAAATGCCAGTTGTATGAATGTCCATTTTGTAGTAAAACTTTTAATCGAACAGACACTTATAAAAATCATCTGAATTGTCATGGAGATCCCAAATTTTCCTGCTCCCAATGCAACAGGCAATACCACACTCAGAGTGCACTGAACAAACATACTAGAAAATGTGGGTCAAGTCCGTACTCAGAATGCAAAGAATGTAAAATTATTTTTTCTAACCGAGAGAATTATGAAATGCATGTATGTAATTCTGATGATCCAGCTAATTTTATGAAGACTTACGAATCAGCAAAAACAGAAGATGGCAAACATTGTTGTGGAATTTGTAACAAGGTGTTTGATAAGCGTAAAGGCCTTCTTAGACATCGTAAACTTCATTCAGAAGTGTTGTATAGAGATAATGCTTGTGAAATCTGCAAGAAAAATTATAAATCAAAACAAATTTTACAAAAGCACATGAAAGCTGTTCATTCAGAAACTCGAGATTATGTGTGTGATCTGTGTGGGAAGAGTTTTAGTAGATCAGACGGGTTGAAGCAGCATTTGAAAACTCACAGTACAGATGATTCAATTAAAGTTGAATGTAGTCTCTGTGGAAAACTTCTTTCTTCTAGAACAGCTTTGAATGTGCACATGAGAATTCATCAAGATGCAGAGCCATACATATGTGAAGTATGTGGCAAGTCCTTTAGGCAGCAGAGTAACTTAAGAAGTCACAAGTTAGTCCATACAGATGAAGCTAACTATAATTGTGACAAATGTCCTAAAAAGTTAAAATCACTTGCCCTCTGGAAAACTCACATGAGAGCCCATGCAGTAAAGGAAGGACTCAACGATGAGATCATTCTAGCAAAGTTTGGCAAGTTTTACACATGTGAGCTTTGTCAGAAAAAGGTGGCTACAGCTACTCAGTATAAACAGCATATGCGGTCTCACTCTAATGAAAGGCCATATTGTTGTGATATTTGTTCCAAGTACTTTAAAGAACGGTCAAAACTGAAACGCCATTTACATAACGTGCATTCAGAGAGAATGTATGAGACAAATATGGTAAGCCTTCAACCAGTTTGTTTTCATAACTATTAAAAAAAAAAAGAAGGGTGAAAATTCAAAAGGTAAAACTGAAATGATTGTGTGTGTATGTAATAAAATCAGTAGTATTCAAACTTTGTTTAGAAATTTTTTTTTCTTAGAAATGAAATTTTTGATTGTAGGAGTGAATGGTCAAACATGTATGTCAATGTGTGGTTTTTGGAAGTAGAGGCATTGTGACCTGGTCTTTTTTTCCAGTTTGAACATCAGTAGTGTTGTTCTTCCAAAGATCTATAGTTAATGGAAAAGAATCAAAAGAATAAAAGAAACATCATAAAAGCAAACAAATAGATTAATTTTGCCACATATACATGTAAGGCCAAAAAAAAATATCAGTCTGTTTAGGGTTACCCGACAGTCCCTAATTTGAAATCCGTAAATCACTGACCCTAAGACATTTTGTTTCCATAGTAAAGGGAGAGATTAACTGAACTCGTCTCAAAAGCATGATTAAACATCCCAATGTTCACTATCGTGCTTATGATAGCCGCTTTAAGGAAACTGGCAACTAGTGTGGTGAAAAAATCACTTTGCCACCATTTTATTTCCAACAAAACCCAAGGGAAATAATCCAATCATCAAAAATACGGGTTAATTTGGCCCATGGACAACTCGGGACCATGGAAAAACAGACCACACAACTCAAAATCATGTTGCAAAAAATAAAATGAAAAAAATGAAATAAAATGAAAATACCGACCTGTCTACCCTATTTTTTTGGATGATGTAACCCTAAACAGACATATATTTTTTTTGGCCTAAGGACATTATAATTAGTCATGTTAGTAAAAAAGTTTAAAAAACTCAATTTTTTTAAATTAAACGATAATGCTAAATCATGTTACTTTGTAAATAAACATTTTTACATTATAGCCTTGCATCTTATAATGTTATCATGCATGTAATATGGATATTTTTCTCATTTTTTATACTGAGTGGTGTGAAAATGTCTGTTCATTTACATGAAAACGCTTTGACTAATGTTGTTTTCTGTGACTAAATGAAGGTCAAGTGCAATTTTCATGATTTTAGCTTTTCTCGTTCAGTTATAGCCCTTTCCCAAGAATTCAATTTTTGATGAATTAATCCATTTCTGTACAAAGGGAAATAACTCATTTTTTTAAAAAAATTTAAAAGACATTGTATTAATGATAAATGACATTTTGGATTTTTTTTTCTTTTCTTTGGTAAATTGTTTGAAGAATTTTGTGGTAGGTTTGTTTGTTATCCTGTATAAACTAATTTTCTGAAGGCTATATATATAATTTTTATTTTATGATGTAAACTCCTTTATTTAGATAATAATCTATTTTTATTAAAGGATATTTTTCATTACATTACATTGTGTAATAGATAAGTTGCAGATCTATATTAGTTTGTGACAAATGAAAGAAAAATATTTGGAACTATTAATTATATTTGATTATAATTTGAAAATAGATATACATTGTGTTACATCACATCTAATTTTAGAGAACTATTTTTAGTGAAATCATATCTAATGTTAGAGTACTATGTTAAACCATATTTCTGTTCAAAGGGAAATAACTCAAACTTATTCCACGAACCAGTAATGATAACATCAAAATTTCTTAATATTTTTTTAAGTCGTGTGTTATGAAGGTAGATGTCACAGTTGTTATGTGGTATTTTATTTTTGTTATGCAGGTTAATGTTTAATTTTTACATGATCCTGTTTGGGGTTCAGATTTGCAAATATCATTTTCATTATTAATTAGATAATAATCTATTATAAATATTCAATCACAATCCAAATTCAGAGGTGTTTTAAGCTTAAATGTTGTGTCCATACTTGCTCAACTGTCAGGGTTTGACCACTGCAGGAAAATCTGGTTTTCTGTCACTCGACAGCCTCTTGTTATAAAACAAGGTGTTGATCCATGCATGTAGGTTTGGTAAATGCTTAAAAATAGCCATGAAAATGCACAAAATACTGATGTGGTTCACTATGTGCATTTTTTGGATTACAATGATATCTCTTAACACGCAAAAGTCTGTCAAATTTGTTTAGAAAGATACATTTGTATTTGGGAATGCAAAGCAGTTAGTTAATGGACCCTATCAGTAAGTTTACTGATAAAGATGAAGAAAGATCAGTTTCTGTCTGACAGGTTACAAAATTATAGCATGATGTAAATGTATTTTAAAAGAATATTCATTTGTACCCCCTAGAAATTAGTTTCTTTATATTCAATTGCATGTTTTGATCGTTTATATCTTTTTGCATGCATCTTTCTTGATTTATAACTTTTAGTCCATCTAAAAATATATTTTTTATTTAGGGTATGTATTTAGACTAAATAGAATAAGTATACATAATTAAGTAGATAGGTTTTTGTTGTCAGTGCTCTGGCACTTTCAGTTTTTCATTTAATTCAGATTTTCAGAACCTTATGTAAGAAATCTGCTATTCAGATCAACACTAAATATCAGCTTTGTTAAACAGTTTGAAAATGAAAAAAAACTGGTCTTCCAAGTGCTTTAGTTTGTTTCCACTTATCAGTTGATTTGAATGGAGTTTATGAGGAAGTGTAGCTGTGACAATATATCTATTAAAATGGAAAACAAATGTCATAGGAAATATTTGTAAGCCCTGAATTCTTTGCATATTGAATTAAATGTTTTATTGGTTTCATTTCTTAGTTGTATCCAATTTATAAACATGTATATGAAAGAGAAGCTTAACCATATAACCTGTCATGTTAATCATTACGCGAGATGATGACCTCAAAACCAGGCAATTGTGATATTTTTATGCAATTGTTCTTTGAAGGCACAGAGTAAGAAACCTAAAATCCTATATATTTGAAAATAAATTTGAGTACTCTATTTGATCAGTTCTATTAGTTTCATATGATTGTGAGTAGAATTATAATTATAACTTTTATAAATAATCATGATTTTCAAATAAGAGAATCAAAAAAGTGATTGAATCTTTTTAATTTTTCTTTGCTATAAATTGCATATATAAGATATTTTATTGCTCGCTGAAATTTCTAAAATAACGCTAATATTTGAAAATTACTGTATATGAAATTATTAAAAAGGTTTAACAATCTTCAAGACTTCCGCCTGAATTAGTAGTACAAATAGTTTTGATATAAAATAGATATTTATTTTTGTGCCATTAGTTTTCTCATAACATTCATTTTAATAAGGTTCAGATCATTGGCAGCTATCAGCTAATAGGACATGTCCTTTTTACATTTCCGTAATTCATTTAACTGAGCAAAGCTGTGTCATATTGTTCTTTGACATTAAATGTTTTGTAAACAGAAAATTATTTGGAACGAATATAGCATATTTTGCTAGAACCAACTTTGTATCACTATCTGAATTATGTCAATTTTTATAAGATAGTGTTATTTATGAAGAATTTTTAATATCAATAAACAATAAAGACTTAAGAGTTTTATGTTTTGTTTCTGACTCCTTTGTCAATATGTGACAATGCCAGGTGGAAAAAATTGTTTTAATGTCACAAATGATGTTCCCAAATTTAACTACTAATTTGTGCATAAAGAACCCACAATACCCAAATACAAAGTTGTACACATTTGTGGGTCATTAAAACAATTTAATGAAAAACATAAACATCATATCTAATTTATTTTACCTCATCTAGCCTGAGAGGCCATGATGTCACATGAGCTTTTGACATTACTAGGCATCGGACGTCGGCCAGTGTCTGTCAAACTTTTTCAAAGATCTCCTCTGAAACTACTGAACCAATTTCAACCAAAGATTGTGTTGATGATCATTATAAGGTGTTCAGTATAAAATTTGTTAATTTTATTTCTTCCAGCCAATCATATGGCCTACATGGCTAAATAAAAGGACATAGGGGTAAAGTGCAAATATTGTATTATCTTGAAAACCCTTAATTGAAAGATAGAAATAATCTGACATTAGGTAAATGGTCAGAAGATCAAAATTTACCTACTTTTTGTTTATTACCTTGAAAACTATAATCCATAGATAGAATTTAGTTTAAATAGCAAAAATTATCTTCAAGTCAAGATCCACAAACAAGATTAATAAGCTGTAGTAAAATATTCACCACACTTTATAAATGAGCAACTAAATTGTGTGTCACAATTTGTCATTGTGGAACAAGAGTCAAAATATGGTAAAAGTCCCATAACTCCCATAAAAATGATCAACTCAAAATGACACTCCAATATGGTCAACTACACATGATGGCAAATAGACAAGTATATCAGCAAGACAAGATCTGCAAATTAATCAGCATGGTGGAAATTGACAGTCAACTTCTTGTATGAGTTATTGCCCTTTAATGATAGTTTAAATCCATGTTTTCCATATTATGCAAATTCTGTAATGGATAAAGAAAAATGATCAGCAAGACAACATCAACAAAAAAAAAAGATCTTATTCATGAATTATATTCTAGTAACTAATTTTTAATATGCAAATAGACCAAGGTGAGCCACACAGGCTCTAGAGCCTCTTTTTTTATTACATATAATGTTGATCCATGCATAAAATGCATGCAGAAACATATTCTTAATTGTCTCCCCTGCGACAAAAGTCGCAGAATGTGAGACCGAGGGATTACTATCTGGTGGCAGCTGCTGGGTAAACTATTTGTATTAAGCTTTATATTTCAGAGTAGAAGACCTGGAGGCTTCATACCTTCAGCTTGTATGCCTTATGTAACAAAGTTTACATCTGTCATATGTCCGTTGTGCTTAACCTCATTTTAATGGTTCAGCAACTGGTTGAAAATAAAAGTTTAGTTTTTATACGACCGCAAAAAATTTTTGCAGTCGTATATTGGTATGACGTTGGTGTCGTCGTCGTCCGAAGACACATTGGTTTTCGCACAATAACTTTAGTTTAAGTGAATGGATCTCTATGAAATTTTACCATAAGGTTCAATACCACAAAAAGAAGGTTGTGATTGATTTTGGGGGGTTATGGTACCAACAGTTAAGGAATTAGGGGTCAAAAAGGGGTCAAAAATAAGCATTTTTGTAACTTCCAGACATAACTTGTGTTTAAGTGTATAGATCTCTCTGAAATTATACCACAAGTATTCATACCACAAAGGGATGATTAAGATTGGCTTTGGGGGGTTATGGCTCAAACCGTTTAGGAATTAGGGGCAAAAAGGGGGAAAAAACAAGGGTTTCCTGGTTAATGGACAATTTAAAAGCAGTGTTAGGGAGGTAATCCAAAAACAAAATTGTACAATGTTGTACAATGTTGGATTACCTCCCTTACACTGCATTTAAATTATCTATTTAAGACTTTTATGATGTATTTAAATTGGTAATTATGGTTGCAAACTCCATTGGAAATTTGAATTGAGATTATGACCATATCTTGAGGGAAAGAAATTTTTTTTGGAAAAGGGTGGGGGGAAGGGGGGGTAAAAAAGAAATTGTGGGGGCAATTTTTTTTTCATTTCAGATTTCAGAAATTAAAAAGAAATTTATTTTTTTTTTTTGGGGGGGGGGGGGGGGGTCAATATGCAATAGCATAGTGTATTTCACAAAAGCAAAAAAAAAGGGGGGGGGGGGGTAAATTTTTTGTTTGTTTGTTTGGGGTGGGGGGGGGGGGGGGGGTCAATCGCAACAGCATAGTGTATTGCACAAAAGCAAAAAATTGAATAAAATTCAAATCATATAACCAAATCTAAGTTCTTTGACTACAGTTATTCCGTGTCAGAAACCTATTGTGTGTCAATATTTAATTACAATCCAAATTCAGACCAAAATCAGATTGTGTTCATTTTCACCCCAACTGTTCAGGGTTGGACCTCTGCGGTCATATCCAGCTGCGCTCAGCGAAGCATTTTATTGTGTTTTGGTCTGATTTTCTAATACCATACATAAAAGGTTAACTATATTTGATGTATGGAATGCAAGTAAGGTGTACATGTCTATCTAACATGTATCATCTGTCCTTGTACTCATTTTCATGGTTCATTGGTCAATGCTAAGTTTCGGTAGTTAGGTCCTCTTCTAAAGTACTATAAGCAATAGGTCAACTATATATTTGGTGTATAGAATGATTATTAGGTTTACATGTCTGTCGGGCAGGGTTCACAATGTTAAGTTTCAGTAGCTAGGTCCTCTTCTAAGGTACTATAAGCAATAGGTCAACTATATTTGGTGTATGAAATGATTGTTAGATGTACATGTCTGTCTGGCAGGGTTCATATGATCTTGACCTGATTTTCAAGGTTTATTGGTCAATATTAATTTTCAGTAGTTTAAATGTCTGTCTGGCAGGGTTCATAATGTTGAGTTCCCTCTTCTTAGATACTATAAGCAATAGCTCAACTATATTTGGTGGAAGAAATGATTGTTATGTGTACATGTCTGTCTGGCAGGGTTCATATGACCTTGTCATGGCCTCATGTTTAAGGTTTATTGGTCAACATTAATTTTCAGTAGTTAGGTCCTCTTCCAAGATACTGTTAGCAATAGGTCAACAATATATTTGGTGTATGGAATGATTGTAAGGTTTAAATGTCTGTCTGGCAGGGTTCACAATGTTAAGTTTTAGTTGTTAGTATAAATAAGAAGATGTGGTATGAGTGCCAATGAGACAACTATCCATCCAAGTTATGTCCTAGGTTAAGATTATATAAGCAATATGTCCATCTGTGATGCTATAAGCAATAGGACAACTATATGCAATCCATGGAATGTAAGGTGTACATGTCTGTCTGGCTTGGTATATATGACCTTGATCTCATTTTCATGGATCATAGATAATGTTTAGTTTATGTGAAACTTGTAGTAAAACTTAATCTTTAGGACTATCTACATAAAATCAGTCATGGTAAGTAAAGCAGACAAGACATTCAGCTTGTGCGTTCTTGTTAAAACGTCAAAAAATCACTTCGTACGAGTGTGGATAGTAAACCCCCATTGACAGAAACAAGTGCCTGTGGTTTTCATCCAAGATCCTTCAAACTTCACAGAGAGATTGCAAACCAATCGAAGTTGTTCACATGCTATTATGGAATTTTTTGAGGAATTTTTACAAACTTGGAACCTTTTTTCAGCTAAATTTACAAAAGACGGTACCTATTTTGTGTAATGTCCTCTTGCAGTTTTCAACCCAGATCCTGAGAACTTCATCATAGAAAGGTTGCACACGAATTCAAGTTGTGCATCTGCTATTATGAAATTATTTGAGGATTTTTCCTGATTCGGGAACTTAATAGTTTTTGTCAACATAATTTACAAAAAGGTGTACCTATTTTGTTTAATTAACTCCTACATTTTCAACCCAGATCGTGCACGAAAACTTCATAGAAAGGTTTCAAAGATATTGAATTTTGCACCTTCTATTATGGAATTGTTTAAGGAATCGTTCCCTATTGTTCATGTCTTCGGATAAGTCTTGACCAGCAAAATTTACAAAATATGATACCTATATTTTAGTTACAGAAGTCAGCTCCGAGAGATTTCAACTAGTTGTGACCCGAACCTTCACAAAAAGATTGCACACATACAGAGGTTTTGCACCTGTTATTATCGGATTGTTTTGGAAATTTTCTCCATTTTTAGACTTTGGAACTTAAATTGGTCCTTTTTCAGTTAAATTTATAACAAAATCGTATAGGTTTCCGCGGAAACATTTGTTTCGCCTGTTATTGCTGCTGTCAGAGTGAAGTGTAATGTTGACTGCCAAAAATTAAGTCCATTTATCAGTAGAATACGGAGGATTGTCTTCAGATGCTATTTCTTGATCTTAAATCAGCTTTAGTCCAAGTTTCATAACATTCCTTGAAGGATGACAAAGTTATTGGTGTCTAATAATCTAATCGCAGACAGTATGTAAATGTTAACTGCCAAAAAAACGAAGTCCATATCTATAAGTAAATACTGAAAAATGAAAAAAAAAACATATTTTCAAAATTTTGCTTCAGATATTATCTCTTAAAAAAAACTCCTGCTAAAGTTTTATTAAATTCTTAAAAGGTTTGACAAAGTTATTGATTGATGTCTATTAAACATAAATTTCAACCCTAGACTGTATCTCCATGTTATCTGCAAAAAAAGTCCATTTATCATTATAATAGATATACGGAAAAATGAAACAACAAATTTTAGAAATTTTGCTCCGGATACTGTCTTTTGATAATAGAAAGCCTCCATCCAAGTTTCGTAAAAAATCCATGAAGGTTTGACAAAGTTATTGCTGTCTGTAAACTTTATCCTTAGACTATATTCATGTTCACTTAAAAAAAATACAGTCGAGGGTTAAAGTTTTTTAGTCATCAAGATTGGCTTACTTTTTACCAGGAACATATATATTAGATATACTGTTCCCAGCTTTTTACAGGTAACATCACACATTTACACTGACAGCATCAATCGCAGGCGAGACACAGGGTTCTGTGAACTATTGAAGATTGTTTTAT